GAAAGACTTTACCAGACGAAGTTGAACCGGAAGTGTGATAAAAAAAGAACTTAAAACCCGCGGCCATGAGGTTAATCTGTCCTTAATTTATAAAATACAAATAGGACAAGGTATTAAAAGCGAATTTACTAACTTGGGATTGACTCCTCCCCAAATAAAACCACCCAATTCCAAAATGCTCCAAAAAGCTGAAAACACCTCAAAACCGTTTGACCACCTAGGAAAACCCAAAGAACATTAGGAGAATGGCTAAACTGCTCAAATCCAAAGTAGCAACTATCTACAGAGTTATTAAAAAATATTTGCAGAAGGTCAAGCGGAAAAGACCAAAGTTTACGCCCTGATTCTACGGAAAATCAAGAATCGCATGATCAACGACAGAAAATTGGTTGAACGACGACTTACTGGAGGAAAGGACGAGTTCATCGTCACAGTCCACGAAGCACTCCTCTGGGTAGATGACTACAAGGGAACGAGATCAATTAGCTACGTGCGTCATGGAGAAAATGTCCCCATTCAATGCGTATGCCAGAAGAAGAAGAGCTTCGTTACCAAGTGATGATTATCGGAGCATTGTCCGACCGTGGTCCCCTTCCTTTGAGGAAAATGCCATCAAATGTTAAAATCAATGCAGCCCGATATATTTCTGATGTTTTGGTGCCATTGGTTGAAAAAGAAATTCCAAAGTTCCACCCTACGGAGGAGGAGAAAGTATAAATTCACCACGATAAAGCGTCTTCGTATACCGCACGGAAAACCCGACTGTATGCCAAGACGGTGAAAGATAATTTTGGTCCCGTGCTCATAGAAAATCAGGACATCCCTGTCAAGTCACCTGACATTGCCCCTTTGGATTTTTTCGGATTAGGCTTTCTAAAACAACGGGCTTTTCATCGGAAAACGACAACTGTAAGGGGACTTTGGCACGCTCTGAAGGACGAGTGGTCCAAACTCACCCCAGAAAAATGTCGGGAGGTTTTCTTATCATGGAAAAAACGATGTAGGCTTGTAGTTAAGAACATGGGGCATCATATGGAGCAAGTTAAACATAAAAATATAATTCGTATATAGGTCAGAAAAAATCTTGAAAATTTCTACGACATCTTGCTCCACCCTTCTGTATGTAAGGAATTAAAACCATGAAACTTGGAAAATTTGTTAAATTGCGGGATTAATGTGTTAGCATTATTAAACATAGCAGTATGCCACAAAATTAGAAAATTATGTAGACCTCATTTCAATTAAATAATTAAGATTTTCCTAACTAATTGGAACTACACTTTTATTTTTTCTTAGCAACTTTGCTTTTAGTAAGAAAAATTTAGAGAATTATTTTAAATTCTTATTTACAGCAATTTATAAATTTCACTAATTCTGAAGCTTTTAATCGTATAAATTTACAAAAAAAGATCACGGATTTGGAATTACATCAGATTAGTTGCTAACTAGACACAAACACTAGTTTCCCTTAATTTCATAAATTTATAAGACGACACAATTTCAATTAGTATGAGAGCAATGTTTGCAATTACTGTAGCAATTTTTTTCATAATCGCAATAAATTTTAAGGAAAGTTGTGCCTCCTAAGGTGAGATAAGTGTTAGGTGAGAGTGTGGCAAAGATCAAGTTTTTAAGGTGCAAATTACGTCATATGAAATTCATCACGGGATTTATTTCTTTTTCCAACAGGGGTAATCACGTCAGAAGTGTTGTTTGCAAAATTAATTAATTTCCGGGAAAAATATTGCAACTGTATTTATAGCTTTTGTAGCGCATTCTGAAATCTATGTATTACTTTAAGAAAAAATAAAAATTATGGAAAATTTGTGTAAAAATAAACTAACCAATTTTGACATAAATTCCTCTAAATAAATCGCCTCCGGCAATTTTATGACAACGGGAGCAAAATATTATAAGAACAAGGATAAATTGCTAAATAAATAGAAACTCCTAAATCTTATTTAATCCAATAGTTCCACTTTTTTATTTCGTTTATTTAATAATTGCTGAGAATTGTGTGCAACTTCTTTATACGAGATTTCTCGCCAATTTGAAAACTTAAGGAAACCATTGCAATGGTTTCCTCGTATTTGTTACATTACTATCATGCCTATCTATGTTGTAGCAAGTTACAGTCTTATCATGATTTCAAAATTATTTCCTGAGACAATGAAACATAATATAAGGCTAGGAATTTGTACATCTGTAGTGAGTAAGTCGATTAATATTGTGGTGATGAGTTTTTTGAATTTAGATAAGCCAGTTTCGATAAGTGCAAATTTTGTTTAACTAATGTCTTATGTCCTTTTTCTTCAAATTCAAAAATTAAAAACTTTTTCAAAAATTGTCAATATCTGGAGTGAGTACTATTAAAAAATTTCTAATGACTTGCTCTACAATCGTACAAATTTGCTTGGCATTCTACATTCTCAGAGCCGAGAAATAACTAAAAATGTGATGATTCCCATACATTTTCAGCTCCCCAGGCGATGAGTCAACTTTGCGACTCATATACATCATCACAAATAAAGAACGTCCGGGAATGAATGGGAATGCGCGCTCTAGCGAGTATATTGACAAATCAATAAACCCGCGAACTATAATAATTTAAATTTCTGAAAGCCCACTTCATTAGGGTCAATTTGGTATATCACTCTTAAATTTCAAAAATGGATAAGGGTAGAAGAAGCTTGTTTGAAAGGGAGCTGTTAGCAAAACGAGTGATGGAGTTCTACAACACGACAGTCAACCGAGACTCCAAGGTGACCTGGAACTTTTTTAAGCAGGAAGGAATTCCAAGTTCAAATGTGTATTCCTACATAAAAAAGTTCAAGGATTCCGAAAATGTGCAATTCAAGAAGCCAGCTGGTCGTCCGGCGAAGCTAGCGACCACTCGAGTGAAAAATAGAATTGAAAAAATTTTCAAAACCAAGCCATCAACGTCAGTAGCTGTAGCTGCCAGGAAAGTCAAAATTTCCAAAAGCTACCTGGGGGAAATTAAGGTCCATAAATTAGGAATCAAAGCAAGGACCAAAAAACCTGCACCAAATTACAAGCCCGTACAAGAAAGTCGGATCAAGGATTGCTGTCAAAAATTGTTGAAGAAAATGCGTGGAAAAGTAGTGATCCTGGATGACGAAACGTATGTTCCGGTTGACCCTTCAAATCTTCCAGGGCGTCATTTTTTTCATAGCTCGGATCCCTCTGAAGTGGCTTATGAAGAAAAAGTACGAAAAAAAGACAAATTTCCAAAGAAATATTGCATTTGGCAATGCATCTCCAGTCACGGACATGTATCAGACCCGGTAGTTCTCGAAGGGAATATCAATCAAGATATTTATCTGAAAAATTGCGTCAAGGCTGGATTGGAAGCATTTATTAATAGGTTTCACAAAAATGATAAAGTTTTGTTTTGGCCTGACCTCGCCACTTGTCACTATGCAAAGAAAGTGACCGAGTACCTCAGAAAGAAAAATATTGATTTCGTACCAAAAGATATCAACCCACCTAATGTACCCCAACTCCGCCCAATCGAAAAATTCTGGGCACGTTCTAAGTCAGTATACTCCCGGCTTCAAGATGTGCCTGACACCTTTCGAAAATTCAAAGGACGATGGAAGAAAATCACCTCGGAAGTGGCAAAAACTTCGGGAAAAAATTTAATGAAAAATCTTCGCAAGAAAATCGAACTAGTCGCCAACGGGGGTGTGGCGGCCTTAGCTATTAATTAAATTATGTAGGTACGTATTTGGTATTATACATATGCAAAAAGTTTAAAATTCCGATAACTCATTGTGATTTTATGACCACATTTTCAGACCATTCCCATTCATTCCCGGACGTTCTTTAGTTCGTACGGTATGTAAAAAACATTTACATAAATACACTAACTTGCAAAACACTTTTAGCAAATTAAAACTATTCCGACTTTTGGAAAATGAAATAATTTTCAAAACTTTCATTTTAACGTACCCGTTGCAACGGGTGGCTACACCAATGCATTGGTGTAGCCACCCAAAGTATTTACTCAAATTTAAGGTGGTGACACCGTTATGAATTTTTTCAAATTTAATTATTGGAATGACATTATTAGATGCTTTTTCGTGGCACATCTTTCCGTATTTATTAGTAAAAGGCGTTATTATTTTGCTTAAATTTTAGCTAGTGTTACAAAATTAATTTTTAATTTAATGTAAATGTGTGCGTTTTTGGAGTTATAAGGTTTTTTGTTAGTTAATACACTTGTGAATTATTTTAGAAAAATTTCAGCTAGTTATTCGTAATGAAAATTTGTAGCAGATTTTTAAAAATCACCTTTATCAATAATTTACGAAAAGTGATATTTGTGTGAATTTAATTCCAACAAATTTTTACGAAAAGGATGAGTAACTTTATCTCGAAAAAGCACAGATTATATACAAAGGATATGCGACATAATTAGTATTCAATACACAACACAAGACAAACATGGGGTTGTACTATTTTACAAATAGTGACTCCAAAATTCATGTTCATATCGTTGTAAAGGCTTTCACGAAACTGGGCTCAATTTCTAAATAATGTTACTAATTAATCATTGTGTTAAATAAAAGCAGAATAACTGACACCTCTATCGCTATACACTGCTAATAATTTGGTAATGATTTCCTACAAATTCGTAACGTATATGACTCTGCTATTTGGTAATAACGCGTACTACAATATGGTAAGGATTTGGTAATAATCTTTACCAAAATGGTTATAAATTTCACCGAATTGGTTATAAAAATTACCATTATGTATCACGTTAGTACCAAAATTCGTAACGTATATGACTCTAAAAATGGTGTCAATATTATTAGCAGTGTATAAATAGTGTCGTCGTATTACTTACTAATTAGGTCTACATGGATTATCACGAGAGTTGTAAATGTTTCAATTTAGAGACATATTTAGAAATCAACTATTATAGACAATAATTAATCATGATTTATTTTTGGCTAAAATATTTCAAGTGTTGTTCACTAATCTGTTAATTGCATAATTTTACAATGATCAGATCAGATTAAGAGAACTAAATTGATGCTAATTCTCATTTTTTCTCTAATTTCCTAATTTATAAGTAATTTTCAATGTTACGCCAGTGTCAGAAAAATATTTTTAAAAGTTGCATTCCACGGATAGATTACTATACACCTCTATATATGATTTAATATTTAAGGATATTTAAAAATAATTGTGGCAGATTTATTTACACAAGATTTCTCCTGTTAAGTTCGAAGTTAAACAATTTAATCTCAATAAGTTAAAAATTTTTATATTAAATGTTATGATTGATTTGTAATTTTTTTATATAATACATAACACGTAATACATACATGTGGTGGAATCACAAACGAAATGAAAATGAGAGACATTTTATATGATTTCTATGGTTTGTACGTTACACTAGGCCAGCACGTAGTCTGGCTATTTCAAGTAGTATTATCTTAATCTTGTTCATTCTCAAAAGTTTGTCGTCGATCTACGTGCTTATCCTCCATTTCGATGAAGTTGTACAGCTTTCTGAACTGATTGAACACAACTTCCAACACTGTAAAATGATCCTCCTGGCTCAAATAAGTTGTTAGGTCTAATGCCGTCTCAAGATGGACGTAACCTTGGGAAAAGCAATTAAGATTAAAATTATACACCAAATCAAACAATAACCTACACCACATGTTGTGAAAGATTTTGTTATTATTGTTTGATGAGAACTCACCTTTATATGCCAGATGGAAATAATCGTCCAGTAATTGGCTTCTACTCAGGGCAGGAATCTTGGAAGCATTTAATTTTAATTGTTGTAGAATCAGCGATGTGAAATGGGCATCATAGAGCACACGATAGAATCCAGTAGCATCGATATTTAATACAATCCATTTGCCAGTTTCGTGTTCATAAGTTGTATTTGTTTGATTGTTAGACAACCAAAAACTAGGGATGTGGTTATCCAAAGGAGGCGAATCTTGCTTAGCAACTGTTATGGGAACATACCACAAATCTGGAGATCCTGGTAGGTTAGAATATCTTTCCTAGATTTTCAAAATAAACATTAGGTAAACGATGACTCTTTCTTTACTAATGGGTCACGTGAATATTGTTTGTTTTAATATATTTACTTGAGAAATAAGGACTGCTCCATTCATAGTGTCACTAACTCGAACCAGCGGATGCCCGACTTGTAGAGTCCATGTGTCCAATATTCGTTTTACATCTGCCCCTGGTGGAAATGTCAAATCCCTGCGATCCTCAACAGCAGCTTGTTGTAAGTAAAAAAACAAGTCTTCTTGTACGGCAGACATAAATTTTCTAATTCAGAAATTATATATGCGTTCATTTTTAATGGGTAAAAAATCTTACCTTGCATCCAAATACAGGATCAATCCCTTTTGGAACGTTTCTTTTGTGAGGAACCCTTCAATCATGCGATTAATTGAAGACCCTTTTTCATACGTAATTGTACTAAAATATCTATCAATCTCGGCTGGTGTTATGGCATCATTCCTCAACGGATGAGTACTTGGACCAGCATCGTATGCCAACGCGGGCTGCATGGCGTCATTAATTTGCCACTCGCCATGTCGAAATTCTGGGGCTACTTCGTCTACCCCGATGTAGCTAAGGTATGTTGCAAAACCTTCATTCAACCATATTTCTGACCACCATTCACAGGTCACTAAATTCCCGAAATTTTGATGGGCCTTAAAACATCATTAATTACTTAAAAATCATACTTTATTGACTTGATTTATTTTTAAGCTATATTACCACTTCGTGAGACACAATACTCTGCAAAACGATTGGAATAATTACAGTTTATTAAAATCCCCCACCCCTTTGTTATTAAATATTTTTACATGCTTTCATACCGCAATCGCATTTTTGTATGCTTCCGTAGACAAACGTGGTGAATACATGAGCAAATCCGTTCTTTTATTTTGATAAATTAGTTTCATGGAACCGTTCCTTAACAAAATTGTTATGCTATTATTACCTGTATAATATCAGTCCATAATTTTCCATTGCACCTAGTAACATAAAAAAATTTCTCAGTTCAAGACCAATCATTCATCATCATATCATTAATATTCATACTGCTTTTATCCGTTATCGCGGCAGAATCCATCTTCGTCATGGGGTATGTTGTATTAAAAAAGTCATCAAAGAAATCCAGCAGTTTTGCAGTTATGTTGACAGAGTAGTTGCCATATCCATTCCTAATATGGTCAGGTGTGGACCATACCTTATCAGAGTAATTAAAAATTACATTCATGTACCAAAAATTATTACATCATTGTCTGCCATTAGATTGTACATGTTCCATTTAGACTCACCCTAACTTGTTTGTGGAACAGGCCAGCATCTGCTTCAATAAAGTCAAATTCGGCAATTGTAAAGGCAAAGAGATAAGTTGGCATTGACACGGTTGACATGAATTTTGATCTGACCCAACCATTCAGACCAGGTTCCGGGCTAGGGATAAGGTACAAACTATTATCATCTCTGTTTCCGTCAATACAATTTTGTTTAAAATTAAAAAATTGAGAAAATATATATGCTTGACAAGTTATGATGTTTTATCGATTGTTAAAAATTTGTTTTAAAAGAATAAAAATTTTTGGAAAACTTACACTGGCGCGCCTATCTCCTCCCCATTAGCCAGCGCTTTATAATTCTCTTCATAAAATAATTCCAACGTAAAGACAGCTTTCAGAGCGGGCTCATCAAAGCAAGGAAATAGTTGGCGGAGATGAAATGCTTCCATTTGTGTGGCGGCACTCAACCTGTAAATATTTTCCATATTTTTAGGAACAAACTTCTAGGCTCATAAACTGTTTTATTACTTTATCTCCCCTGATTCTGTAAAATATCTGCTAAGGTATAACCCGCTTGTTCTGCCATCTCTAAACACTGTTGCTAAAGATGCAGCTTCCAGACGATAGACAACGCCAACTTCAAGGTTTCCTCTTTGCAGCGGGATATGCAGGAAATGCGTTTCGAGGTTTGGATCGAAATATGGTTGCCCTAGGGGGATGACGACTCCGGCATCGGTTGTCAACTAATAATTTAACCCAAATGTGACAGAACTTAAAAAATCCGACTTTCATATTTTTACAAAAAACACACCGTAAAAGTTAACTCCGTTAACAAATTTGCATGCAGCGTGATGTGGTTTATAGGTTGTGCCACCCTGAAGGATATTTCGACAAGGCTGCGCGCCGTGAATGGTTGCTCTCCTGAAATAGCGTTGTCTAAAATCACTCTGATCTGGACGTGGTAACTGGATGGGATCCAGGTGTCATTAAGTTGGCATAAGGGCTCAATAATTTCGGAATTTGGTACAGGGAGAACGCTAAGATTTTCGGAACGCCATTTAACTGGCTCAAACTGTAGAGGCGGGTGAGCGTATGAAATGCCCGCAAGAATCAGGGTAATTACGAAAGTCTCCATATTTTTAGAAATTAAATTGACAGACATAAGGTTCATGCCTGTAATATGATCTCAAACTGAAGCAGGCTTCGACAATGCTGATGCAATCAACGAGCATTTATCTTTCACCAGGTTCTCTTATCTTCATCCGGAGATTGATAACAATAATTTGATTCATTGATATGCTATAACACGGACACTTATCCTTAGTTTCGTATGTCGCACTTTATCAAGACAAGTTTAATTGCATCATCCAGCACGTCATACCTACATCCTCTCAATTTTTTTCACTTCCTTAGTTGAAATATGTTGACCAGGCTAATGCAGAACTAAGTCTTCATTTATTAGCGGAAATCAGTATACGCGATGAAAGAAATTAATTACTAGAAATGCAAGAATTTAAATGGCGTCGAATTGAAAGAAAGGCAAGAAAGGCAAGAGAAGAAAATCTAAAATTCAATTTAAAACACCAAATTATGACTCAAGTTGGTAGGCAAATAATATTCATTATTAAATGTTGTTTGGTTAATTCTAGATAATCATTTGACTATAGAGGGTGTTCTGATGGGTTTTGGACACTCGACCAAAGTGATAGGACCAGAGTTGAAAAAGTGTTAGAGAGTTGTAAATTTGAAATCTCATTCACAGAAATATTGGACACGGTTAAGAAAAAAATTAGAGAAAACATTAGAAATGCCAAAGACATTCCCCCCGGAGTGCGACGCCCTTGTTAAAGCCTTTTCCAACGACGGAATGAGTCGTAGGGCCATCGTAGCTAAATTGAAATTCATGATTTTGACATCAGCAAGCCAACTGTATAAGATCATTCAAACTCATTCGTCCTATCTAGGACGACAAGCGGTGAGTTTTGGATACGATAAACCGCTAAGATCAATCCGCGCTACTCGGACACCAGAGATTGTCAAAAACTCGATAATCTCACTAAGAAGGAAGATCCGTCCAGTTTGAGAACAATTCAAAATTACTTGGAATTACTGTGACTGGAGTATGGAAAGCGATTTATCTCCATTTGAAGAACCTCAACCAAGTTGTGATACATAGCGATGAAAGTTTTTACTTCATTAAAATCAGTTGAGAAATTGCAGACTTATAGGCTCATGTCACTTTTTTAAAACCATAGTGAATGCTTACTTTAGTGTTATTCGTAACTATGGCCTCACCTAAGAAAAATGTAACTATTATATGACTCACCCGTCTGAAACCTGTTATTATTATTCATCCATTAATTTAGCTAATTTAGCAAAAGTAATTTTGCAAATTTATTTAGCAAATGTGCTTAATTATAGGACTTTAAAAACGTACGCATTTGTCTCCTTCTTGCAGTCTTTCTGGTTTAAAATACATAATTTGAATTCTCAAATAGCAGCATCATTCAACAAATACAACAAATAATGAAAATTGCAATTTAATTATAATTATCGTTTAACCAGGATTGACATTGATAATACACCGCGTAGCTCGGTGCATACATTACTCTTTAAGCTTTGACGTTAACAAATCTCTTATCTGTTAAAATTATTGGGTAATCTACATTATAATTTACAAAAGTCCGTTTTCCGTGACAGCATTCTGATTGGTTGTTTACGAATAAAAATTACGAATTAGCCAATCAGGGAGCAGCGCTTCATGGCTGGTAAAACATTCCTTAACAACGTTAAAAAAAAGTCCTCAGGAACGACAAAAAATTCAGATCTGAAGTTTTTGTTATCCCGAGTCAAGGCTTATGGGACAGTCATGATAACTCTCTTTAAACTTATCCTATCGACTTGAAATTTTTATCATATGCATATTGGGAAAAGTTAGGAATAGTTCGAAGATGAGCCAAACTGGTTGACCCGTGGGCAAATGGATGGGTGGTAATCCTAGAGAGCTGAAATTTGGTACATACATAAGTAGCTAATGGCTTCTAATGAAAGAATATGAAGCAAAATTGTGAAAATTTTTATTTCGAGGGACCCTATGGGGTCACCCCCACCGATGTTTTGAAATCATCCACACGTGATGAAATTTAGCTTGAAGGAATGGTCTATGTGAAAGGATATGAAGTGAAATTTAGAAAATTGTCAGAGATGACCCCAATAAGGTCATTCAGAGTTAACTTATGTATTATGATTCGATTTTGAGGGAGTGGTACAGTGATATGGGCGTGGTACTTCTATGAAAATGATTGCCACGTAAAGTTATAACATGGTAGCTTAGCAGGTCGACTTTTTGAAATTATAATATAGGTAAAATACAATAAATACGTCTCGAATTTCGCCTGTCTTTACGACAGGCTTATAGGCTAGTGCTCTTATAATTAAATATATATTGCTTATTTAAGAAGATTCCATTATGTTAGGTAAGTTTGTGATTATGGCACAATGATGTCATATATATGTCACTGTCACATAAGTTTAAAAACCTATTATGCATGAACTGCGGAACCTATCTGTGCAATCATTCCTACAGCGAAGCCATCACTATTTTGAAGCTGTAACAATTGGCTCTTATCTCTTATCGCACGGTTAAACCTTGTCAATTTAATTACTATTTGGTAATCAATATGCAACTGCTTAATTTGATTGTCAGTCTTTGGCAAAGTTCGGTTGAGAGACTAGCACATTTTCATACATAATTGACACCATTATGGGCGACAATGATGCAATCCAGAGGTCGATTATGACCAGGTGAGTAGAATAAAGGATACACGTTGAATATTATAATTCAATTTACAACAAAACAACAATAATTTATTGTCTGAAAATACTTGTAATTTCAGGCTTATTATAAAATTCAAACATTTCAATTTCTCATTTAAAAATTACATATTATTTTCTTCATAAAATTGTACTATTGTTATCGATTTGTATTTTAATATTAAAATTTGGTTGTTTCAGGATGTAGAGAATGATAATCAGGGATATGTCCCAAGTGAGGAGAAAGAAGTGGGCGATGGGTTTGGTGGCACGTTATCAGCACCGAACTATTCTGTAAGATTTTATATCTTATTAAGCGACATGTGATATTAATCTGGCTTGTCCATTTATTGGCTTAGGTTTGAAGTGGTCGAAAGTATTTACTCCTTATTTATTCCTTTAAATCAACGATTTCTATGTAGTTATTGTAAATCGGGGTGAATCTTAATGTTTAATTCTACCTGTACGATATAATCGTTTGTATTCCATTCGGTTGTTATGTAAAATATATCTCAGCACGACCTACACCTGTGAACAATTCCTGATTAGATAAGTAATCTGATTTATCCTAAAACCACACTAATTACGGATATTCTAGGAAGATGCACAACCACCTTCCGAAATTCTATCGGGTACAGGAAATGACGGCATCCAAGAATGGGACAGTCCGATAGAGTTCCTCTTGTCCTGTATTTCTATGAGCGTCGGGCTTGAAAACATTTGGCGATTCCCCTTTATCGCACTGACGAATGGAGGGGGAGCTTTTTTAATCCCATATTTGATCGTCCTCGTCATTATTGGAAGACCGATCTATTATTTAGAAATGTGTCTCGGGCAATTCACTAGTTGCGGACTAGTAAGGGCTTGGTCGGTGTCCCCTTTGTTCAAAGGTATCGGCTTTGCGGTCGTGCTGGCGTCATTTTGCGTGGGCACATACTATTGCACCATCATGGCTGTGGCGATTTATTATCTGGTGGCGTCATTCTCTAAAACGTTGCCTTGGGACTACTGCGACAAAAATTGGGGAGGCGATCTGTGTACGGATGATGGAAAGGTTAACACGAACCTAACGAGTCAACGGACAACGAGTTTATATTTCCAGTTGAGTAATAATTACAATTTAGACAATTATGACAAAGTCCCCCAGACATTTGTTTTTAAAAATAAATTTTAAAATTGCCCTTCAATTTTGAAAAAATTGATGTACTTTTCTACAAATTGTTTTCAAAAGTTTTCAAAAATTTTATTTTATGTTGCAGCATGGAAGTCTTTCCTCAATTGCCTAATGTAGAAGACGGTCTTGGAAAGATTCATTGGAAGCTTGCTCTGAGCTTATTACTGGCATGGATACCTATATTTTTAACGTTATGGAAGGGAGTAAAATCCTCTGGTAAAGTGGCTTATTTCACGGTTAGTTGAATTTGAATCAACGTTTGCTGATGCAGATTTGTTAATGCGAAATTTTGTTTCAAAAAGGCATTGTTCCCTTATGTGGTGCTGCTTATTCTATTAATCCGTGGAGTAACTCTTGAAGGAGCAGGAACTGGAATTGAATTTTTCTTCAGACCACAGTGGAGCGCTTTGTATGACCCAGAAGTAAGTATTAAAATAATTGGTGTTCTTAATGTGCTCAAACCGTTTCGGTTTTGAAACGGATTTCGCTCCTAGCTTCCTCTGTATTTTTGGAAACGTTTAATTTAATTTCAGTTCGTTGCCAAATTTATGATTTTTCGTATCCGTTTTGTTTCTGATTGTTTCCGTTTCGTTTATCCGTGCCACCAAAATCCGAAACGGTACGAAACGATTAAAGCACTAATTATTTTTACCTACTGTTTAAAATTATGCCAATTTGTGCTTACCTAATTAGTTTGGAATTTTAATAAGAAAGTTGGAAATAAGAGTTTAAATATCATATGTAATATACATATCTTATACTGTGGTATTAAATATAACTTTTTTAATGGTGTCTTAGGTATGGTACGCGGCAGGTGAGGAAATATAACATAAATTTCAATATATTTCTTTCATTTACTGAAATCTATTGTATTTATTAACAGTTGGCCCATGCTTCTTTTCCCTTGGAATCGGATTTGGACCAATTTTGTCTCTCTCATCGCACAATAAGTTTAACCATAATGTTTACAGGTTAAAAAACCTACCTATATTATGAGGAAGTATATCGACATGTTTATAATTATAATATTCGGTAACATTGCAGGGATACCATAATTATCAGTTTTATGGACACTTTTACAAGTATATTGGCCGGCTGTACGGTCTTCGCGGTACTCGGTTACTTATCCAAACAGACCGGGATAGATGTCGATATGATAACTTCCGGTGGAATGGATTTAGCTTTTGTCGCTTATCCAGAAGCCATTGCGAATTTTGGGTGGGCACCTCAGGTACTGAAATATCCAAATTATATTAATTAGTATAGAAATCCAGCTGAAATAGTAATACATTCGTTAATTCATTAATAGCTATTTGCTGTATTATTCTTTTTGATGTTACTCACCCTTGGGATTGGAACCCTGACAGGCCTTACGGGATCTGTTATTGGGGTTCTATGTGAGCAGTTCCGGTCTGTTCCTCAGTGGATAATAACTCTTTCCGTTTGTGCAGTTGGATTTCTCTTTGGGTTAATGTACTGCACAGAGGTAAAAGTTATAATAAGTAGATATATTGACTAGAATTTACCTAGCCTCACATTCTTAATAAATTGCAGGGTGGCCTTACAATGATCGATCTGATTGATTATTTCGGGTCTAATTTTATCATTTATGTAATGGGTGGACTCGAGTGTGCAGCAATTGCGTGGGTGTATGGGCTGCAGAGGTTCTGTAATGATATTGAGTTCATGTTGGAAAGACCAGTAGGATGGTATTGGAAAATTTGCTGGGGGTTCGTCACACCTGTTGGCCTCGCCATTATCTTCGTGTATGCCATGGTTACACAAGAACTTAAATATCCCACAGCCCATCTTGGTAAGTTGAGTCAAGTTGAGTGATTATCTGGAAGATTATTGTAGGTACTGCAACATTAATCCCTGTTAAAATAGTGACTAGCAGGTCATAACGGTTCGACTGTGTTAATGCTACTTGTGTTAAGTGAAGGTTATGCTTTAGGACCAAACGTAATTTAGATGCAGACTGGTTCAAACTATGTATAACTTGATTGGTTGAATTCCATAACTAGGTGAAATAAATTGTTAAATTAGTTGCAGGTTGGTCACTGGCTGCGGTAGCGCTATCACTGGTACCAGCATTCATGTTGCACACTGTGTATACAAGATTGCCGGATGGATTTTTGGAAGTAAGATTAATATACTCAAAACATATACTTAGATATTTTTTATTAACTTTTTTTGTTATTCATTTTAGCGAATGATAAGACCAAAGAAGGAATGGGGACCGTTGGACAATAAAATACGACTAGAATGGCTAGCAAATGTTCCGGCAAAAACAAAATTATTCTAAATATTTGGGTTACATTACACTGCAATATTTATGAAAATGTAAATGAATTTAGAAATTTTGCAAAATGTATTAATTTAAGCTTTAATAAAGCACAGAATTGATATTAGATTGCGGTTTTAGATCGCTGCTTTGGCGACTTGATGAATTTAACACCAACATTTCCGACCTTTGATCATAACGAAATTTTTAAAGTTATATACCACATGCAGCAATTGCTTCCATTGAGATTGTGTTAAAACAGTGTTTCCGCTATGTTGTGAATTGTTCAGTCTGAGACAAGTTAAATTTAACATGGTGAATTTTCGCGACTAATAAAAACGTTGTCAAAAACTTCATTAGGTACTTATTTTGCCCAAACAGGTTACGGATTAAATTTTACTAACAGCGTGATATCTTGTTCCAGAACCATTTGAGAACATCTAGTTGCCATAAAACCACACGACACAAAAAGGTCAATAGGTCAATAAATAAACTAAATTTTAAAAAACCGTGTGCGTACCCTAGAATTTGAAAGGGCTCCTAATGTTTTTTTTACAGCATCTTCCTATCTCATAAGGTGTCGCCAATCGGACGCTTACAATTTAAAGTTTGCGTGAGTGACTACACTATTTGACATATACATACTGGCATGCTGACAATACTGCATATCAACTTTCATGTTAAGTAAATTGTTTAGCTAGTTATAGCTGTAGAAAGAGTGCAAAGATTCTTAGAACTATAACTTATGGACGACCATAATTCTCTTTCAGGTATAAGAAGCTACATGTTTTTAAACAACCACATGGATATAAATTATTTTAACCTATATGAGCAAATCGAATCTTTCAGTAGTGCATTTTTAAATTTTGCTAAATAAACAACTCAAACTTAGATTTTGCTCTAAATTGTAAGCATTTTTCTACTCATTTTATGTGTATTCTATTTCATTCAAAATTTATATGGGAATCCAAAAATTTCTAAAATTTTAAATTGGCATAAGTTTATGAATAGTTTTAGTGAAGTTAAAAATCTTATTATACAACGACTAATCGACACCTTTATCTGTAACCTTCCAGGGAAACTTAACCTGCCAAAAAATATTTCTGGTGTCACATTTAAAATATTAAATAATTGTAAAAATTGGTTCATGTCTCATAATTGTGTCATGTGTTCCTTCTTAAAACAAGAATTTCCTCCATAAATGGTAAAAATCTATCTCAAAGCGATGAAATGCCCTAATTAGGAATTAATTAGTCAGTGTTCTTTATGTCGTGGGTTCATTATAGGCAGGAAACTGTATGGATTTTCTGGCAGAACTTTGTGCATAATATATCCTTATTTAGCAGGGTACCAATTTAAATTCAGTGTAATAAATAAATACACATTCATACGGCACGAGTGTCATTAAAAATACGAATTCAATTCCTCCAATCATTGTTCGAATGCAACATCCGCATTCTATAATGCCACGTTTGTATGAATCAAGTTTTCAATAAATTTGGAATATTTGTACTTAGTACAATAATACATTTACCGAGTTTGGCTTAGCACATCTTTTCGAATTCGTATGCACATCAGCTTTCTAACTATTGCCTCATTATTCTTACATAGCACACAATTTTTTAGAAAAATACACGCCTACACGACAAATCAAAAAATTCTCACTTATAGTATTTGAAGTTCTGGGTCAAGATATCAAACCCGATTTTTCCCATTCATTTAAGTATTCATTACCTCATCGAACCAATGGCATTAATTCCCCTAGAACCATTCGCCGACTGCTTGAAAGATCTTTATCCAATGGGCGATAGGCACCAACACGTTGACATTTCTTCACAGATTATCAGGGACAATCTGCATCACAGAATGCTTTGGTTGGTGCACGGTCCCGCAGCTGCAGAAATTTCGAAAAGTGGTTTCCTTGCCGTTCAGATGTGCACCCTCTCTATATTCTTAGCTCTTGATTTCGTCTACCATACTCGAATTGCGATAACCAAGCACATTCTAAGAAATAGTCACACAATCCGGGGAAATTTCGAGCATTCCAACATTCTAATAGTTTCCCCCAGCCAGACTTTTAAATCTCATGGAAGTCACGATGATGAGCTCCTTCGATTGGGAGAAGTCGACCGGTGGCCGGTTAGGAAGTACGTTTTGCGACTTGAAAGTAACAAAACGAACACCTAGTTGTACTGGTGTCACTTGTGTCGTGCATATTATCACGTGGATTATGCGGAAATCCGGTAAGTATGCTCTATAATCTGTAAAAACTCTGGTAGAGTCATATGTAAACTATGCAGCAGTAAAGATTTCGATAAATATTTGGTTCGGGGTGGTAGACGTTTAACATTTTGACGTGTATAACTTCTTTACCAAAAGTATATCGATCAATATTAATTTCATTGTCAAGTCCGTTAGAGCCATTTTTATAAAACTTATTTATAAAATCCTAACAGTTATGATTCATTTTAAATCACTATTTCCCATTTTTCCAAGAGCGTAAAAAAGTAATACAATCAAGATTGAAATGATTCTCTCTATACTAGATCGCTTACTCCAAGCTATTTCCAAGCTATGTGGAAATACCCGATTCGAATCGCGATCCACTCCTTCAACTACATCCCACCGCATGAAGACTGCCGATTTGTCAACTACCGGGAGATAGCAGGAAGCTCTTGCAACGTCGATGACGTCCGCCGTCTCGCAACTGTTCTACTCCATTTAAATTTGACACTATGGGACAAGGGTTACTCAGATTACACTCTAGACAACGAAAATGGCTATGTCTTCTACTTTGCGACATTCTTCTACATCTATGAAGGTTTCAAGTTCAGTTCTCAGAGGAGCGCCGAGCAGATGGAAATCGTCTATTGCAATTCCAAACAAAGAATGCTTCAAACATCGCTAAGCATTTGGCTCGAACCATTTCTGATGCACACCTGGTACTTTAATCTCGTCGTTTTGATCAGCCTTCCCCTTATCTTTGTCGGAATTAGTACGTACCGGTATTACAACAACCTCAAGGTTCGGGGTGATGTCAAATGGAAATATTATGACGGCTCTATTACTCTAAGCTTGGAGGTGTTTGCAACAATTTTGCGACAATCCACCACTATCACGAACAAAGTGGTGCTACTACTCATGACCATGTATAGCCTTGTCATGGTTACGAAATACGAATTCTACTGGACAAGTGAGGTCATAGTTCCCACGAGATTCAAACCTTTTAGGGATCTCATTCAATTTTTTGACAACGGGTACCAAGTTCGACTACAAGGATGGAGCAGAAACGACTGGGAGAAAACGACGATGCTGAACGCGTTCGAGTTGAAGGGCTTAAGCCAAGATCAGTTCAAGAAATCCGTGGTCCGATCCCACCTCAATGATGATGCCCTTAGGTCTGGCATATCTCCACAGGATCCCTTCTATGGTAAACTGTCAAACGATGCTGAGTGGAAAGTACCTGAAATGAAATATAGATACCTCCGGGGTAAGTTTGATTGCTACGCTTTCCCTGTGGCGATCCAGTACACTTACTTGGCGTGGTATGTAGGCGTGCTGCAAAATGTGTGGCGGATGCTCGGACGCTTGGACAATGGGGGGTTTCAAGTCGTTTGGAAAACGTTCGACTTATTGAAAGATGCCAGGGAAATTAGGAATATGAAGATGCGTCACAATGCGACCGAGGTGGATAAGTCCAACGAAATAACCTTTCATAATTTAAGGTATTGGTTTGTAGTTCAAGGGGCAGCTGGGGCTCTCGGGTTTATTGTTTTGCTCTTTTTGGAGCCAAAATTGTCGAGAGTTCGGTGTAAAGTAGTTTGCTACGAAACGACGTAAGATTTCAAACTATTACGTCCTTAAGACGCTCGAGATAAATCGGAACATGGATACATATTTAAAAAGTTTTAGAGGCTTTGGGAAAGGGAACGTAACTTGCACTTTAAACCACAAGCAATATGTCAACCTGCAATTTAGCTCCGTCTGCCCTGCAGCACCGGAGTATTGCACGTTGTGGAAGTCAGAGGGACTGATTCAAATTGAATTTCAGACCGCTCCCATTGTTAATCAAGTGGGCACGTGGTTTTCGCGTGAAAAATTCTATCCACCGACTTTCATGCAGTGCAATAGTATAACTTTGATACAGTTTGACACAAATCTGGTGCTAATTGATGCCTCTATAAGACGCTTTGGGCTAATTCTAATTCCAAAAGAAGATTGCCTAGAGACATCAATGCACGATGTTGGATTAGATACATTAACTTCTTAACTGTTACCGACCCAGCACTTTATGAATTACGTTCCCAAACAGGGATCCGTCGCACTTCAAATTTTGTCGAAAGCTAACATTTTTGATCATTTCATTTCTTCAGAGTAAAAAAAAACTTCTGTGCAAATTTTAGACAAAGTGTAGCAAATTACTCAGTTGGCTAAAATTTATCGAATAAGGGATAGATTTTATAAGACTTTTTAAAGCATTGTTACCGAACTTGTTATATCCATCATACTTGTATAAAAATATTTGCTTCGTGGGTGTGAATAATATGAGAATAGTCATTGTTCTCCAACGTATGGAAATATGTTTAATCTTTTTAATTTGTTTAAACCGGAGAGTAAATTAAGAGTTAAATAAACGAAGGACATGGATGTCGGATTGTGAAAACAGTTTTCGACAATGCTATTGTTGCCATCATCCATCTCATTCCGTTTTAACCTGACATGGTATAAATGGACTAGCATATTTTGTTAAATTTAATTTTCAATAGTTTATTTCATCCATGCTAGATTAACGTTGTTTTGCGTTTGTCTTCTTAAACACCCCAAATTGCTAGCAATGTTCATATATTTTCTTTGAATTATATATAGTTGTGATTGGATACATTTACAAGCATTACAAAATAAGCCAAGAGGGCTTCAATTTTTAGCCCGAGTCAGGGCTTATGGAACCGCCACGTCCGTCGGTCTGTCTGTCGGTCTGTCTGTCCGTGATCACGATAGAGCCAAAACGGCTCAACCGATCGACTTGAAATTTTCACCATATGTATATTGGACAAAGTTAGGAATCAAGTTCGAAGATGAGCCAAATCGGTCCACTG